CCACCTTCCTTTGGTGAAGAATGGGGTGAATAATGACAAACCAAAAGTAAGGCACTGAAGCAGAAGGTAAAAGATAATAAGGAGACTGGGAAGAAACTGATTTCCAAACTCAATCCAGATTGCTAAGAAGACTTGCTTTCTCTGGGCTTAGAATCATTACAGACTATGCAAAGTCACCTCTCGGGACTGTAGGGCTCCAGAAAATTGCTCTATGTCTTCTTTCACCTACTGGAATTCTGAGGTCTTGTGAATGAATATCAGAACATAAGGACTGAGCACAGAGCTGGATGAAAATTTTTCCTTAAAATGGTAGCCCGAATGGAAGACTCCAGCTCTGGGAGCAAGGGCATTCACCTTGGCCTTTGTTAATGGGCATGTGGGGGATTCCGTGTGGTCACAAGACTAGGACTCTTCTAAGCATGAATGAGCAGGGCCATTCCCTTTCTTCACCCACATTTGCCTGCTGCTTGTCAGAATTGTGGCTGAGACATTTAAGATTCTCCTAAACCACTGGAGCCACGGCTTTTGGCTTTGTGGCCATATTCAGGACAGAGCGGTAATCTTGAGTGGGGAAAGCAAAAGGGCACGTCCCTTGGAGTTAAAGCATTTCAGAATTTCTGGAGGAGCCATCTGGTTTAAAAAGGCACTAGCAAAATTCTAATATGCTGTAATATTGAATACATGGGAAAATAAGCTTTTAATATCCTAAGTTTTGGAAAAAAGCAAACCAAATCATCTTAGCTGCTACTCTTTAAACTCTCATTTGCATATGAGTGACTCACAAAAAGCAGGGCTATTCTCCCTTTCAAGAGAGGCTATCAGAATCTCTGAAAGACATTTTCACTTACAGTATTAATTAGAGGAAGCTTGACATTTTACAAATATAAAGATGTTAGGACAATTCTACATGTGACAGAAGTAGACAAATCCCTTCCAAATTGGCAAAATAATAAACTACACTATAGCACTGCCTGGGCTTCCCAGGTGGCTCAGTGGTAAAGAATCCACTTGTCAATGCAGAAGATGCGATGTGGGTTCAATCCCTGGGTTGGGAAGATCCCCTGGAGAAGGGAAAGTCAATCCACTCTAGTACTCTTGCCTGGAAAATTCCATGGACAGAGGAGCCTGGTGTGCTACAGTCCAGGGGGTCTCAAGTAGTCAATCAAGATTTAGCAACTGATCACACACACACACACACACACAGAGCACTGCCAACCTATTTTTCATATCTGTATTAAAATTAAACTTCAGAACTCCAAATACATTATGAGTATTCCTCTGTCAATACTGTATAGCATGAAATTCAAATGACTTTTAATGAATGGATGTTTTTAAATGAGGAAAAAGATGAAGACCACAAGGTGTTTACTTTTTTTGCTTGTTTGAGTTTTGAAGATCGGTCTGCTCCATGGACCATACTGCCAAAAAAAAGAGTTTCATGAAATTATGCTATGGTACTTGGCTGCATTTAATTAAAAACAAAATAAGTCTTCTCATATCCCATACTGCAGCCTATAACTTTCTCAACAAAATGTTCCTATATGAACCAACTACCTTGATAACAGAACACAAGTCTCATAGGACTATGGCAGGACTTTGTGAGAAAGAAAACTGTGGCCTCCCTCTGAATCCAATCACACCCTGAATGTGCTGTATAAAAATAAACCAAGGTCATCATTATTCCTTCTCACTGTGATTTGGCTTGCCTTCAAATTACATACTCTGTATATCTGAAATTACTGCACCGCCTCCATTAACTGAGTTTGACATCACTTTAATCAATGTATCTTTTCAGAGGGAAAGGCAGAAATGTCAAATTCCTACGATTATAAACTCCTTTAACTCTCTAATCTGCATTAAGTAAAAGCTTGTCTTTGAGAAATAATATATACTTTAAAGAAATATAACTAGCATCAATGTTCTTTTAAAATGGAGTAAAAGAGATTCAAGCGCAACAAATCTCTTCATACAGAGATGATTTCCCATGAAATGTTCAAAGCTTCAGTCTGCAAGTGCTTCACTTATATAGGCTCCTCCCAAGTCCCACCTGATTTTATATTCATAATTTTGTATTAGTTTTCCAAAAAGAGTCCCCTTCCTTCAACTGTTCAACCTCAGGCCCCATAAAATCTATGTCTGCTTCTTCCTTCATGGTTTGTGATGTTTTGTCATTACTCTTGTCAATATCTATTCAAATGATGCATATTTAAATAGAAAATAAAACATATAAACAAAAAATTTGGAATATATATATATATATAACCCAATCGTTTTGCTGTATAACTGAACCTAACAGAGCATTGTAAATTAACAATGCTTACAAAAAATGAGTTTAAAAAAAGAAAATTAACTTTATAGAAAAGTTAATTTGCAATTAATTTTCAAGGTCTCTCTTAGGTAACTCAGTATTCTGTGATTTAAATGTGTATGTGTGTTTTATATAAAATTACAGAGTCACAACAAAATATCATGTTTCTTGCATTTGCAATGCAAGAAAGAATGGTTTAATGAAAAATATGATAAATCATTTTTAATAAGTTAGGGAAATATTACAGCAGAAAATGGAAGGGTAAGGAAAGCTTGGGAAATCACTTTGTTTTATTTTTGTGATAAAACCATGATGAAAGATAATAAAATAGAATTAAGAAATCTTGACTTTTCTAGAGAACAAAGATTTTAATCTCTTTTATTAAACCACCCAAGTGGTTAAGAACTTTACAATTTGTTTCACATGTAGCAAATGACTTGGCCTACAAAGATTTCAAATGAATACTTTAGGACTAAAGAGGAAGCTGTATTAAAATCTCTGTCCAAATTATGAATTTATATTTCAGTACTGTCTAGCTGGAGTAGTGTCAACCAACACCTCTCTTCCTTAAATAACAAATTTGTGCATAACATTTTGTGGTCTTTAAGTTTAGAGTAACAATTATAATATTTTCTACTGTATTTTCGATACTGCTATGCCACATAAGAGACACAGAGAGCTTCTTATTAAGAAGTATATCATCTATTTAGATCAGCAGTCTCTTTTTCATAGTTAAGATGCCCTTAAAAGACTCTGCAAATGAAATTCTAAAAGATGATATTACTAGACTTTAAGAAAATTTGCATCATTTAAAAAATTCTAAAGAAATATATAATTTACAATCAATTATTTGAATGATTATTTGCAAAACAGTATTTAAGTAATTCTAAAAGTAAGCAACTTATTAACTTATGTTAATGCAGTGTTATTCTCTATTAATTGGTAACTATTTTGGTTAAAACCCAACCAAGTGTACTCAAGTTTTTCAAACCAATGCAATTTAAAAAAACTGGATTCAAATGTCAATACATTCAAAGAGTAGTATGTTGCCAGTTAATAAAAGTTAATGTGTAATGTAACTTTGTGAATATCTTCATTTTCTCTTAAGAAATTCATTATCATTTAGTCTAAGTATTACCTGATCACTTCAAAATGTACTATAATAAAGTCCTACCGGACTTGTCCAAAAAGGTTAGCTTTCTTCAAATTCTGATTAAAAATTTAAAAAGTCATTCGAATCTATGACAAAGTAGATGATTTGTTTATCTTGATCCATGTCAAAATTAAAATTCTGCTACTCTCCCTAAATTGCTCTATATACTGGTTTATGGTTTTAATTCTGTAGCTGTATCAATTGATCAAGTGATAAATATATATGCATTACAAAAAACAAACACATGCTTTGTATTTTTGTAATATCTGTACACTGAATGGCTTTTCTATCAGAAATCAATTCTTACATCTGTCAAAGAAATTGATAAAGGAAATTATATAAAAATGTTTTACTACAAAATCCAGTAGCATCTTTTGTAAATCAATAAATGCACAATGTTGATCTCTTTCCACAATTTTTTCTCAGAGGTGAAACTTCTCTTGTGACTATTTTCCCAGAAGTGTTGAATAGTGACTTATTTAGAGAGATTTCACTTCTTTCATTCTTAATTATAGACCCTCATATCTATTTCAGAATGACTATAATCCACAAGTCAGACACAGGTGAAAAAAAATGATAATCTTCATCCACCTCTTTGGGACATACTGTACTCCTCATATATTATTTGTATATATTATTTTTACTGTTGTGACATGTTCAGTTTTTACATTTTTTATTAATCATTTTTACTTTCTTAAACAAAAAAGTTGGAGTTTATATAAAAAAGTCAAGCTAAAAAGTTTTACTGAAAAGTTAGGTCATCATAGACATGAAACAACACTGTGACTTGAATGCAAATTATAATTAAAAGCCCCTCATGTTTTCCTGTTGTTTTCTTAATATGGTACTTTTGTACCTGGTAATTTGATTGCAGAGATCATACCACCATTGGAAATAATTTTTAATGATATGCTACATTCAAAATACTGAATGTAGTATGAGAAGGGAACTTTTAAATTAAATATTTATCAATACTTTTCTCAATCTCCATTTATCCATCACAAATCATTTTATTCTCTATCTTCCCCCCATAATAAGCCACATAAAACTTTTCTAACCTTGAGGCATCCACATGTCATTCCCATAGAGCAATTAGTTCATTGAGAATATATGTCAGTTCAGTACTCCACATGTAGCTATTACTAAATACAAAAATATCAAATAATCATGATAATAACTCATATACACAAACTATTTAACAGCAATTTAAATTGTTTGTTACAAATACTCCAAGCCAGTTATGCATATTCTATTACTGTAGTATTTTCTTAAATAAGAAAGATGTTATTTTTGCAAAAGAAAAAGCTTAAATGCTAACTCATTTATATAAAAAAGTTTGCCCAGTGAGAAACATGTACACCTGCACATATATATGTGTAATATATACATGTGTGTATATATATATATATATATATATAACATTTATGCTTAATCAGTATCTACTATAATAAGTTTAAATCAATCTGCCTAATTAGTGAGCTTGCCACAAACTAAAAGTTATGCCATGGTAAAAAATATTTTTAGTTACTTTGTACTTACAACAGTCCTCTACTTCTTCCCACCAAAGCATTTGGAAAAAAGAAAAGTATATATCAAGGCAGCGATAAAAATCTTGGTAAATTTTCTTTCAACTTTATTGCTTCAGTAGTTTAGGAATGATGAGAAACCAATCAACTTCAGCAGCCTTTAAAAAATAAGACTTCAGTTGTATTTTTTTTTCCCCTATTCGTAGTCTCTGAAGCTAATTGCCTCCAAGATCTGAGTCCTGTAAGGGGAAAGTGAGTGATCCCAACACTGAGTGAGTCAACATAGTAACTGATGCCAGGATTCTGTAGAGGCCCCTGGATATTTTGAATTCCAGGACCTGCGCAGAAGCAAGTGACCCGCCTTTTCTCTCAAGTTGGTTTCCCATAATAGGATTGCCCATGGCCACTACATATAAGGTTGTGCTTCCAGCATGGCAAGCCCTGTGAATTCAAATAGTGTTCAAATGTGTTCTCATTAATATCTAAACCAGAATAGCCCAGAGGATATAGTATTTGCTCTCAAAGCCTTCTTAACATAAAAACTCTTCAGTACACAACTGTAACAAAACTTTCTGAAATTTCTATGCACCTTTCCAGAATATCAGAGCAGAAAATTCTAACCCAGGTTAGCCTTTTAAATGCCTTTTCTTTTTCTTTCTTTCTTTTTTTTTTTTAACATTCTCAATAGCACTAAAACTTTCTCCACTGAACAAAAAGAAATGCCTAGAATCATCTATGCATTTGTTATATATCCACTGTCTATCAAACTTCATTTCTACCCTCGGGATCCAATCAAAAGTCATATATTGATGATGCCAACAGTCTGAATAAGAGAAGAAACAGTGGAATGAAGCAGCTGAGCTCTGAAGGCAGAATGTGTATAGCTCTCATGGGAAAGGCTTCTGCTAAAATAAAGAGTCTTTAAGAATGAAGTGAAGAAATCCCCCTAAAAGGCTCAATTTTTGTTGTAGCTGATGATAAAACTTTTTTTTCACTAACAAATTACTCTTCCTTCAATTTACTTGCTTAGATTTATTTAAAACACCATCCTCTTAGACACTGAGTTAATGATCAACTATGTAATGATTCTCAGAAGTTTTCTGTATTAAATGAACACAACTCTAACAAACCGTTCAAAATGTTTCTAAACTATTCTTTGCCAAGAGAAGGCTTCTTTATCTCCTTTCTTATTTTTATTTTTAATGCAATAGGTGAGTCCAATATTTATAGGAAATACTGGTAACACATTTGAAAAAGATATTTCTTCTGCAATTACTATAATCTCTGCTAAAATTATTTGTTTGAGTGTTTTTATAGTACCATTTGTTAAAGTGACAGACTCATTTTTCTATGTCAAGCATTCAATTGCTTGGCACAGAAATAAATTGTAGATAAAAATAGGAAAAAAAAACCTGACATATGGGAGTCAGACTATGATGTTTACTTTAATAGTGAGTTATACATTTTATATTTTGGAATATCATAATATTACCAATCTCCTCAATAAAATCTGTATGAAATAAAACACAAGCCCTGATTTTAATTTGGGGGTAACTGTACCTAAATTACTATTATCCAAAGTAGATTTAAAATTTTCTCTGTAGGTTATCTCATCTCTTTAGTGTGGTTGTCTAAATATGTATACAGCAAACAATTTTATGACATATGCTAAGAGAAATGTTTTAGGAGTGACATGGATCCACATTTGCATGTTACATTCCCTGTCCTATGCAATGGTATGCAAAACTGCTCAGAATATAAGTTCCTTTACACTTTGTATCATGAGTTCCCAGTAGACATAAACCCACATTTCAGCCAAGGTACATGTACAGTTTATCAGGGATTTGTAAAGTGTAGTCCATGAAGCAGCAGCATCAACATCACGTAGGAACATTTTAGAAATGAGAGTATACATGAAACCTGAAAAATGAAAAAAACTCTGGGAGTAGGACACAGTACTCTGTTTGACAGGTGAGCTAATTCGTGGCCAGTTTTGAAAAACCCTGAAATATATGTTTCCAAAACAACTCTGGCTCCAAATATACCCAAAACTTGGCTTGGTTAATATCGAAAGCAACATGCAAAGTACCAAACACTAATAGATCTGAATGCCCTTAGATACATCTTGTCTTTCTGCTTTAGTCAATTATCAGGATTTGTTGGGCACCTGTAATAAATTTTACATTAATGTAGAATACTCATACTTCTCTTAAGGTTTTATAAAAGAATAGCCAGGAGAGATAAGAAAGCCTTCCTCAGCAATCAATGCAAAGAAATAGAGGAAAATGACTGAATGGGAAAGACTAGAGATCTCTTCAAGAAAATTAGAGATACCAAGGGAACATTTCATGGAAAAATGGGCTCAATAAAGGACAGAAATGATATGGCCCTAACAGAAGCAGAAGATATTAAGAAGAGGTGGCAAGAATACACAGAAGAACTGTACAAAAAAGATCTTCATGACCCAGATAATCACAATGGTGTGATCACTCACCTAGAGCCAGACATTCTGGAATGTGAAGTCAGGTGGGCCTTAGAAAGCAACACTACGAACAAAGCTAGTGGAGGTGATGGAATTCCAGTTGAGCTATTTCAAATCCTGAAAGATGATGCTGTGAAAGTGATGCACTCAATATGCCAGCAAATTTGGAAAACTCAGCAGTGGCCACAGGACTGGAAAAGGTCAGTTTTTCATTCCAATCCCAAGAAAGACAATCCCAAAGAATGGTCAAACTACCGCACAATTACGCTCATCTCACATGCTAGTAAAGTAATGCTCAAAATTCTCCAAGCCAGGCTTCACCAATACGTGAACCGTGAACTTCCAGATGTTCAAGCTGGTTTTAGAAAAGGCAGAGGAACCAGAGATCAAATTGCTAATATCTGCTGGATCATCGAAAAAGCAAAAGAGTTCCAGAAAAACATCTACTTCTGCTTTATTGACTAGGCCAAAGCCATTGACTGTGTAGATCACAATAAACTGTGGAAAATTCTGAAAGAGATGGGAATACCAGACCACATGACCTACCTGTTGAGAAACCTGTATGCAGGTCAGGAATCACCAGTTAGAACTGGACATGGAGCAACAGACTGGTTCCAAATAGGAAAAGGAGTATGTCAGGCTGTATATTGTCACCCTGCTTATTTAACTTATATGCAGACTACATCATGAGAAATGCTGGGCTGGAAGAAGCACAAGCTGGAATTAAGATTGCCGGGAGAAACATCAATAACCTCAGATGTGCAGATGACACCACCCTTATGGCAGAAAGTGAAGAGGAACTAAAAAGCATCTTGATGAAAGTGAAAGAGGAGAATGAAAAAGTTGGCTTAAAGCTCAACATTAAGAAAACTAAGATCATGGCATCTGGTCCCATCACCTCATGGGAAATAGATGGGGAGACAGTGGAAACAGTGTCAGACTTTATTTTTTGGGCTCCAAAATCACTGCAGATGGTGATTGCAGCCATGAAATTGAAAGATGCTTACTCCTTGGAAGGAAAGTTATGACCAACCTAGACAGCATATTAAAAAGTAGAGACATTACTTTGCCAACAAAGGTCTGTCTAGTCAAGGCTATGGTTTTTCCAGTGGTCATGTATGGATGTGAGAGTTGGACTGTGAAGAAAGCTGAGTGCCAAAGAATTGATGCTTTTGAACTGTGGTGTTAGAGAAGATTCTTGAGAGTCCCTTGGACTGCAAGGAGATCCAACCAGTCCATCCTGAAGGAGATCAGTCCTGGGTGTTCATTTGAAGCACTGATGCTAAAGCTGAAATTCCAATACTTTGGCCACTTCATGCAAAGAGTTGACTCATTGTAAAAGACCCAGGTGCTTGGAGGGATTGGGGGCAGGAGGAAAAGGGGATGACAGAGGATGAGATGGCTGGATGCCATCACTGACTCAATGGACATGAGTTTGAGTAAACTCCAAGAATTGGTGATGGACAAGGAGGCCTGGCGTGCTGCGATTCATGGGGTCGCAGAGTCGGACAAGACTGAGCAACTGAACTGAACTGAACTGAATGATATATTCACAGAAAGTTTCAAAGAAAGTATAGAGAAGTTCCATAAACTCTTTTTTTTTTCATTTATTAGTTGGAGGCTAATTACTTTACATCATTGTAGTGGTTTTTGTCATACATTGAAATGAATTAGCCATGGATTTACATGTATTCCCCATCCCGGTCCCCCCTCCCACCTCCCTCTCCACCCGATCCCTCTGGGTCTTCCCAGTGCACAGGCCCGAGCACTTGTCTCATGCACCCAACCTGGGCTGGTGATCTGTTTCACCCTAGATAATATACGTGTTTCGATGCTGTTCTCTTGAAACATCCCACCCTCACCTTCTCCCAGAGTCCACAAGTCTGTTCTATACATCGGAGTCTCTTTTTCTGTTTTGCATATAGGGTTATCGTTACCATCTTTCTAAATTCCATATATATGTGTTAGTATACTGTAATGGTCTTTATCTTTCTGGCTTACTTCGCTCTGTATAATGGGCTCCAGTTTCACCCATCTCATTAGAACTGATTCAAATGAATTCTTTTTAATGGCTGAGTAATATTCCATGGTGTATATGTACCACAGCTTCCTCATCCATTCGTCTGCTGATGGGCATCTAGGTTGCTTCCATGTCCTGGCTATTATAAACAGTGCTGCGATGAACATTGGGGTACATGTGTCTCTTTCAGATCTGGTTTCCTCGGTGTGTATGCCCAGAAGTGGGATTGCTGGGTCATATGGCAGTTCTATTTCCAGCTTTTTAAGAAATCTCCACACTGTTTTCCATAGTGGCTGTACTAATTTGCATTCCCACCAACAATGTAAGAGGGTTCCCTTTTCTCCACACCCTCTCCAGCATTTATTGCTTGTAGACTTTTGGATAGCAGCCATCCTGACTGGTGTGTAATGGTACCTCATTGTGGTTTTGATTTGCATTTCTCTGATAATGAGTGATGTTGAGCATCTTTTCATGTGTTTTTTTTGCCATTTGTATGTCTTCCTTGGAGAAATGTCTGTTCAGTTCTTTGGCCCATTTTTTGA